GGAACGAGGGCGCCACCTGAACCCATGTGCCTCACTCTCTCCTTCTTCGCCCAGTGAGCTGGACGTGAGAGCGCCTGTGTCTCCCAACACACTATATCCTTTATTTATATTTAGTTTAGTACCTCTTATACTTAGTATAGAGGTGTTACTAGTATCCTTATTCAATTTTGCATTGATATTAATTGTATTTCTGCTGTTTATTCACGGTTCGCCGTGATTGTTCAGTAGTTTACGTTAATGGGAATCTGCACAGATTGTAAACTACGTTACTCTGCTACTGATCCACATTTAAAATGCCCTAGTTGCATTACTCCATGTTCTTTTGTTTCTCGTTGTAAATTTTGTATTAATTTACCAATTTCTGCCTTTGATAAATATTTATGTTCCGTTTTTAGACGGAAGGCAGATAAATCTCGCAAACAAATTTCAGTCATGGCTAATAGATCACAAATTAATGTTCCCTGTCAACTGTTGACTGATTCCACTCCGCCACCGGCTGGTGGCATGCCTGAGTTTCTCGGGGATAAGCGTGGGACGCAGTCCGCTATGTCCAAGAAGCGACCTGCATCTCAAGATCTGCCGTCTTCTCAGTATAAGACTAGCAAAGCGTCCATATCATCTCGTACGCTTCGTACACCCAGGTCTACAACTACGTCAAAAGGGAAATCTACAAAATCTAATAATTTTGCCTCTGATATTTTACCAGTCACAGAATTAGCCTTATATGATGATGACATTCCGATTATCATTCCAGAGGTTCGTCACAAGAAACGTCCTGTATCTGCGACTGTCACCTCAGCGCAGATTAGCACACAACCGGAGATGCCTACGCTGTCACCAGATATTTTGACTGAGGGTCCCGTCACCTTCGCAGAGAGACAACCCTCATCATCAGCGTAGACCGCCTCAGACGACCTGGTCAACCAAATCATGAGGCTGATGGAAGAACGTTACGGTTTACAGAGGCCCCAGAGCCACGGGCCCCAGAGCCCAACCCATATTAAGTCATACAGGGCCCCAGAGCCCACAGACGCGCCTCCGCGAAGGGTATCCCAGCCCGGAGCGAGCTCTTTGCATAGGAAGTCCCAGGCCACCTCCGCGAAGGAGCTAGAGCCTCACCTATTGCAAGAGGCTTCGCGGAGAAGGAGCGCTTCGCCGAGCACGCACCTTGTAATTCACAGAGGTCGTTCGCGAAGCAAGCGCTCACATGTCGACTCGGACACTGACTCGAGACATTCGCGAAGGACGCGAAGGCTAAGTGGTTCCATTTCTACCTCGCTTAGAAGAGCTTCGGCCAGAAGCCCCAGCGCGCGAAGCCCCAGTGTTCGAGAAGCCCACAGCGTTCGCGAGAAGCCCACAGCCTTATGGTTTCACCGCTCGCTGAAGCCCCCAGCCTTCGCTAAGGATGTCTTCTCAAAGTCTCTCGTGACACTAGCCACTCGTCAGTCCGTTCTCCACAGTCCTCTCATAGATCTTCCTATAGATCTAGGACTCCGACATATGACCATACGTCAGAAGAGGAGGATGGTATCATTTTCTCAGATGCTGAGATAAGATATTGGATGGTGAATGAATTACAACTTGCCTCCCCATCAAAGAACGAGGATGCAACTCAGACTTACCTGATGAAGGATGATGATGTAGATTATATCACCTTACCTCCTTTTGACCCGATCACAGCCGTACCAGCTAAACTAGATACAGCCTGCTCCAAATCTTCTAAAGACCAATCTACTCATTTACCGGTCTTCAATGCCAAGAAATTTGCTGGACATAATATGGAACCCTTTTTCAAGGCCCAGGATATTGATGACAACTTTAAACTTATCACTGATACCAAGTCCAGAAGTTACAGAGTAGACGATCGCAAACTGGCCCAATTAGATACCATTTCCAGAAGGATGTTCTTCGGATTAAATAGATCTAGAACTATTAATGAGACTCTCATCACCAAGTTCAAGAATTCTACAGACGAAGAGACAGAATGATCTACTCAGCTCTACTCATGCAGAAAAAAGACCACCAATTTCTTACAGAGCACCTTTCAGCGCTTACTGAAACTACTACCATGACTCAAATGTCGGGCAAGGATTACTAGCCTCCTGCTCTTGGAATAAGCAATTCACAGAGCCTCTTTACACAGCTCCATGGTCATCAGCCCTTACTTTTGGTGGCAACATAAACAAGGTCTCCAAAGAAGTATCTAAAGATTCCAGAGAGGTACTTATGATTAGATCCATGGATACCTTAGCGAACGTCTTTAAACAGTCAACACAGAGATACTCGGGCAAGTCTAAGTTTTCAGGGCTACAGAGCACGGGACAAGAAACTAGCTGCAGCTAATAATCCCAAGGATTCTTTTCGTCGCCCATACAGCAAATTTAGAGGAGGATCAGCTAGAGGCAGATCATCCAGAGGTGCCCGTGGATTTAAACGATGAAATTCAGGTTCGGAACGACTGGAGTCTTCCACCCCCAGCCGTTCCAGTACAACCGTCTCAAGTGGGTGGACGCCTTCAGCTACACTGGGAAAACTGGGGAATACTACAAGATCCTTATGTATCCAACATCCTACAGCACGGATATCTTATACAACTCAAGACCAAGCCGCCGTTAACAGTCACCCCGCCATGGTTCAACGTTCAACCGGCACAACTACCTATGTTAAGAGAAACAGTACAGTCTCTGCTAAACAAACAGGCCTTAGAAGTTCTGGATCAACAAAACATCGCGTATTCAGGTTTCTACTCCCCAGTTTTCCTAGTGCGAAAAAAGAATTCCAAGGAGAAATATCGTCTCATTTACAACATGAGCACCTTCAACAGAGAATATCTATGCAAACCACCAAGCGTTTGCATGATACATTTACCACAACTTCGCAATTAATTCGTCCACTAGATTACATGGCCAGCATAGATTTGCAAGACGCATATCTACACATTCCGATTCATCCCAGCTCAAGGAAATATCTAAGATTTATCCTAGACGGCAAACATTACCAATGGAAGGTACTTCCCTTCGGAATCTCTTCAGCCCCTTGGGTATTCACAAGAGTAACCAAGCCTATTGTCTCATACCTACATCGTCAAGGTCTGCGGAGCGCATTTTACCTAGACGACGGTATACAAGTGGATCCAGATCCACAGCGTCTCAAACTACAGCTGAACTTTATAATCAAGTTACTAACTCAATTAGGTTGGTTAGTAAATCGCAGTAACGCAGGATCTGCATTTTCTAGGTATACGATTCCTTACAGCTCAGAATCGTTTAGTAGTCCCGGAGGACAGATGGATCAAGATCCAACAACTGATTCCCCAAGCCCTACTCTCTCCGTTACCACTACGACAGTGGCAGAGCCTATTGGGACTACTCACATCAGCTCAAGACTTGACACTCAGAGGCAGGCTTCAATTACGTCCATTACAAGTCCTCATCAATGCTCATCTCGAGGACCCTCTACCATTCAGTCTACCAGATTACGTCAAACCACATCTACTCTGGTGGACCAAGAAATTGAATGTTTGCGCAGGCATCTCCTTAGTAGAGCCGGAATCGAAAACACATCTCTACGTAGACGCCAGCGTCACTAAAGGTTGGGAGCCCACCTTGCCGGCAGGACAGCGTCAGGCCTATGGAGCAATCAAGAGAGCAAATGTCACATAAATCTGCTAGAAATGCAAGCAGTCATAAACGCCATAAGTCACTGGAGCAACCTACTACAGAGCGCTCAGTTGATGATTCACACAGACAATTCAACAGTGGCGTTTTTATGTGAACAAACAAGGTTCAACAAGATCACTGAATCTACTCACTCGATGTTTCAGACTGTTCGATTTAGTCGACAATCTAAACATACATGTCAGAGCTTGCCACATTCCAGGAGCAAAGAATGTTTTAGCAGGCGGCTCTCTCTCGGCCACACCAACCAATGCCGCCAACAGAATGGATGCTCCACACAGAGATATTCAATCAAATAATCATGGAAATAGGATCTCCCTTAATAGACCTATTTGCCACTCGATTCAACAAACAACTGACAACCTTTGTATCGCCAGTGCCAGACCCACTAGCATGGGCAACGGACGCACTAAGCATATCATGGGAGGGACTCAGCGGTGACGCTTTCCGCCTCCTCGTTAATCCCACAAGTCTTACAGAAAATCAGTCAAGCGAAGAGCCTCGATCTGATTTTGGGTCGCCTACTGGCCAGCGAGCGTGGTTTCCAGATCTCATGCTAGAATCGGAAAACCAGTACTTCAGCTCCCACTGCGCACCAATCTATTGATACATCCGCACACCAAACAAGTGCACAAGACACCAGAAGCATACCAACTTCACGTGTGGATTGTATCAAGGCATGTTTGAATAAGAGAGGTTATTCTGCCAAAGCGGCTAAAGCGGTCACGCTTGCACTCGTAACTCAACTCAGAATTTGTGCGATGACAAATGGCACAGCTTTGTCAATTATGCTGCTAAGAAAGGATTTTCAGCCAGATATGCTACACATCCTCAAGTGGCAGATTTCTTATGTTATCAACGTCAAACTAAGAATCTAAAAGGCTTAACCTTGTCCACTTATCTTGCAGCCATAAGTTCTGTCATAACTATGAGAACAGCGTCAAGTTGACTAAAACACCAGAGTTACTTTCGCTTTGTTCTGGCGTTCGATTGGAGGATCAGAAAGCGGAAGTTTCAAGCTCCAGCCTGGGATCTAAATATAGTACTCAACACCTCACGAGTGAAGGCTTATGAGCCATTGTTATCTGCTTCGTTTGAATCACTGACCCACAAAGACCTTATTCCTGTTAGCATTAGCTACTGCGCCAGGATGTCTGAGATTCGCGCCTTTGGATTACGAGAGAACACGCTTTGATGATACTCATAACATGGCTCATCTGGGACTTCGCTGGGACTTTATAGCGAAAAATCAACTGCCAGGTCAACCAGACAGATTGTTCCATGTCCCAGCTCTCTCATCCATACTTGGACCGCATGATCACGATGGACCTATCACTTTGCCCTGTACGTGCACTGAAAATATATCTCCAACGATCCAAGCAAAGTAGTAGGGAAATTCAAAAGATTGTTTATCCCTATATCTACGCAGCTGAACAGAAGTGTCGCAGTACTACACGATTTCTATTTGGATCAGAACTGTCATACTCACGAGCCTACAAGGCTGCAGGACTCGACCCTCCAAGAGCTTCTAATCCTCACGAAATTAGAGCGCTAGCCTCAACTCTCGCTCTACATGGAAATTGCTCGTTGAATACCATTATGGAGGGATGTTTTTGGAGATCCGATATGGTGTTTGCCAGCCACTATCTGAGAGATATCACCACCAAGGACGTCTCAGGTATCCACCATTTCAGTCCCATGGTCCTCGCTCAACAGTTGACAGTTCCACGGAGAAGATAAGTCTATCTTACAGATTTTATACTTATCTGATAACAGTACTAATAGCTACATGCTATCTATATAATTTTGCTTAAGTTTAATTTATTATCTTAAGCTCAGTACTATGGTTCTATATCATACTATATATATATGCTTACAACTCCTAGGAGTTCTGCTATTATATATATGTTCAGCTTAAGTTATCAATCCTTAAGCTCAGTCATATGTTCAATTCATAACATGTATTAGTTAACAAACTCTAAGTAGTTGGTTACTATTATACAGCTTAAGTTATATTATATCTTAAGCACAGTACTATTATAGCTTATATATATGCATATTGTAAGCTTAATACTTTGGTTCATTATAAAAGTATTCACTATAAACTCTCAGAAGTTTATACTATCACATTAATGGCTTCAGCTCACTTTAATGTTGTATATACTTTTATTATATTCAGTAAATTGTAATAACCTTTATATGGCAGCTGATAAGTTAACAGCAGGAATTCTTCAGTCAGTGCCTTTATGAAGTTCCCATAGGGTTATTACAATCATCTCAGTTCAAATCACTAATTAGTAAAATCCAAAGTATATATAATCCCACCTCCTGTTCCGTCGGATTCTACAAGCAATAAGCATGAGTCAGGATAAGGAAAAATATGAAATTTTTAGAGTAAAATTAATATTTTATACTTATCCTGACTCATGAGGTAAGCCCTCCCATCCTCCCCACTAAACACTTTGGATTTCTTCGGAAAAATAAAGTGTCGGGCTCAAAACAAAAAAGGAGAGAGTGAGGCACATGGGTTCAGGTGGCGCCCTCGTTCCCGAGCTTGTGGAAGGGAGGTAACTCGTGGTGAGTACTAATGAGTGATTTTTTATTGAAGGGAACTTCAATTGGGAGATACACGTGTTCCACTAGGTTCGCAAGAAGAAGAAGACAAGCAATAAGCATGAGTCAGGATAAGTATAAAATATTAATTTTACTCTAAAAATTTCATTTCTGTTAATTTATTCAGTTCCAATTTGCAGTTAAATTGAAGCATTTAGAACTGTTTCAGAATTTTTGCTTTAGTCAATGGCTACCACTTTTCGATTTTCACTTGTCCGCAGCAAATGTGGTTGTGTCATTCTTAGAAACTAGCAGAAGACCCTGGTTAGATTTAAGTCTGCTTCAGTTTTCTATTCCACAGCAAATGTAGCTGTGTCAGGCTTAGCAACTAGAAGAAGACCCTGGTTAGACTTCCATCTGCTTTAGTTTTCTATTCCCCAGTAAAAATAGCTGTGTCAGGCTTAGCAACTAGAAGAAGACCCTGGTTAGATTTCCATCTGCTTTAGTTTTCTATTCCCCAGTAAATGTAGCTGTGTCAGGCTTAGCAACTAGAAGAAAACCCTGATTAGATTTCCATCTGCTTTAGTTTTCTATTCCACAGCAAATGTAGCTGTGTCAGGCTTAGCAACTAGAATAAAACCCTGGTTAGATTTCCATCTGCTTTAGTTTTCTATTCCTCAGCAAATGTAGCTGTCAGGCTTAGCAACTAGAAGAAGACCCTGGTTAGATTTCCATCTGCTTTAGATATTCCCCAGTAAATGTCTCAGGCTTTAGAAGAAAACACTGGTTAGATTTCCATCTGCTTTAGTTTTCTATTCCCCAGTAAATGTAGCTGTGTCAGGCTTAGCAACTAGAAGAAAACCCTGGTTAGATTTCCATCTGCTTTAGTTTTCTATTCCCCAGCAAATGTAGCTGTGTCAGGCTTAGCAACTAGAAGAAAACCCTTGTTAGATTTCCATCTGCTTTAGTTTTCTATTCCCCAGTAAAAATAGCTGTGCCAGGCTTAGCAACTAGAAGAAAACCCTGGTTAGATTTTCCACCCTTCAATTCTCTGTTGTCTTGTAGGTGTATATATTCCGTCCTCTCAAGTTCAACACAAGCTCTGTGATCAAGATCGCAGTGGAACCAGTGAATCCGTCTGAACTGCCTAAAATGTTGGACGGGCTGAGAAAGGTCAACAAGAGTTATCCCCTCCTGACCACAAAAGTAAGCCAGTACCTCTTCTGTCTGTTCCTCTATTAAAACTGTATGATTGCAAGTTGTTGTACCTCAAATGACCCTTTAAAATGGACTATATGTGGAGTAATGTACTATTGGTGACATATATAAAAAACATGACAACATGGAAGAGTACTGTTGCTACTCAGATCTTTTTGTGTCGGATTGAAAAGTCACACTGTGGATTGTCAGGTCAATTTTTTACATGCAACAGCCATTTTGGTGGAAAATTGTGGAAGCAGCTTTAATCTCGCATTTGCACGCACACACGCTCATTCTCATGCTGGCAGCTGCTTGCACAAACACACAAACAAAATGTTCTAAGTCCCTTGCCATGCATTGAGTATTGTTAAACGCGGTGTAATATCATGCTCATTGTTCAGGAATTAAACAGTCATGTCAGGCTTTACAGTAAATACTTTGTGTACCAGGTTGAGGAGTCGGGCGAGCACATCATCCTTGGGACTGGAGAGCTGTACCTGGACTGTGTGATGCACGACCTCCGCAAGATGTACTCCGAGATAGGTCAGTGCGTCACATTTGATGCGGCTTGGGTCAGAATTAGCCTTCAGCAGCTCATGCTTGTCATAATGGGATAAGATGGCAGAGGTACAGATAAGCTGCATATCTGCGTAAATTATGCAAATATTTATGTGAAAACTCAATTCCTATTAAGTCTATTGCGTACAAGTTCGCTTCAATTTTTGTAAATACTCAATAAATGTGATCTTACATGCGTTGACACAAAAATGTCAAATCTTATTGTGCATACCAGGGGATAGATAAAATAACTGAGGTATATTGAGAGGTTCTATTTCAGGACATGAAAGTCCTTATATTCTTTCATATTACAGATCAAATATAAATAACAAACACTAACATTCAAACTTTATTATGTTTATAAAATACCCAATTGAGTTTGAGTGAGGTGAGTTCAATCTATTTGGTTCCTCAAAGGAAAATAAGGATACCCAATTGAGATGAACACAAGCGAGTACATAACTCAATAACCTGAAAAGTTATCTGTAGCTGTGAGATGGTCAGACCTGCTTGTGTCTTGTCAGTGTATCCTAGTCTTGTAGATCAATGCGGGGCAGTGGGGTAGCCCAGTGGTTAAAGCGTTGGCTCGGCACGCCAAAGACTCGGGTTCGATTCCCCACATGGGCACAATGTGTTAAGCCCATTTCTGGTGTCCCCCGCCGTGATATTGCTGGAATATTGCTAAAAGCGGCGTAAAACTAAACTCAGTCAGTCAGTCAGTAGATCAACAGGCTGGATTTTCTTGTCCCAACAATATTATTTACAAACTCCTTTCATATACAGTTGAAGCTCTCTAAACCGGCATGCGTTGGGACCGGCAAAAAATCCCCCTATAGAGGGCGTGACGGTTTCCCTTTTCAACCTGAGAATGATCTTCCGTGTGCCGTAAAATACGACTGAACAACATGTTGATAGTCATCATATTCTTTATTCATCAATGAAGATAACATAAAAAATACACTTATATAACACAAATGTAGGTGTTCAGTACAGCTTCCAGAACATTTACGTCATAATTCATAACTCCGAAGTTTCAAGTCCGAAACTGTTAATACACGTTCAGTCAATCAGCCAATTAACAGGAGAGCCGAGATACCGAATGCTGATTTAGAGAGTTAACTACTGTACAAAGAGTCAATTGGGCGGTCTTTGTTGTGCCGAAATACGGAATAGACTGACACCGGATTAGAGGGCGTGTAAACTATCATAAATTAACTAGCTTCTGCTAGGACCAAATTCTAGTGCCGATATTGAGGGCATGCCGGATTGGAGGGCTGCCGGTTTAGTGGGTTTCCACTGTAACAGGACTATTGCTGAGTATGGTGGTGAACCACTATGAAAGAAACAGATTTTAAACATATGACTGCTTATACAAAATATAGAAAATGGATATTGACAAAATGAGTTGTAGTGATTGTTGTCACAAAGCAGCTGTTTTATCGCGCAGACATCAAGGTGGCAGACCCAGTTGTGTCCTTCTGTGAGACGGTGGTGGAAACATCTTCACTCAAGTGCTTCGCAGAAACACCCAACAAAAAGTAAGCCACAGATTACTTTCATTGAGATCACTGTTTAAATTCTTTTTGTAAATATTTTCATGCTTTTAGTTTTAACTAGAACTTTATCAATGCTGAGATTACTGTGGAAATCTGTTGTTCAAGTGGAAGTCATGATTGAACGTTGCAGTGAAATCTCAATAAGGCCAGACCAATTTTATTTCTTGTTTTACGGATTTTTGTACTCAAAAAACCTAAAGGCAGGAGGGAAAAAAAATTAAATAAATGCTAAAAGTATTTTACTTTTGTCAATTTTTAAAGTGTATATGGGGCAAAACACGATCTAAAAAAACCTTTTCTTGTATATTAACAATTTTCGACCAATTAAACCCCCAAAACATTAGGATTTTATTTTTGAGCAGGGAAAATTAACTTTAATTTTTTTTCTTATTCTTGAAAAGGTACGACCATAGGATCCGTGAAAACAAGAAATAAAATTGGTCTGGCCTAGCTAAGGATTACGTTACTTGATATGCTTTTAGTGATGTAAATTCAAAGCAGAATCTTTTGTGGTGCTGTACTCTATTATAACCAGGGGGGATTCTGGGCTGTCAGTCTCCCTCACTTACTTCATGAAGGACATTGTGTCCCAACTATGTTGATTGATGCTCATGATGTCAATCACTGGTCCAGACAACAGCTGATTGCCATCTAGCTGGAATATTCCTGAGTGTGGCAAATAAAAGATGTAAAATGGTGTGTAAGTGAAAATTTATGTTAAATTTACATGGCTTTCGGGAAGACCTGTGAAGATCCTGGTTAGAAGCAGTCTTCAGTCACCCATGCTTGTCGTAAGAGGCGACTAACGGGATTAGGTTGTCAGGCTCTCTGACTTGGTGGACACGTCGTTGTTTCACAATTGCTTAGATCGATGCTCATGCTGTTGATCCCTGGATTGTCTTGACCAGACTCGATTATTTGCAGACTGACCCCATATAGCTGGAATATTGCTGAGTGCGGTGTTAAACTACAAACAATCAATGCTATATGGTGCGTACATTTGCCAGGAATAAGTTGACGATGATTGCGGAGCCCCTGGAGAAGGGGTTGGCGGAGGACATCGAGAACGAGGTTGTGCAGATCACGTGGCCCAGGAAGAAACTGGGAGAGTTCTTCCAGACCAAATATGACTGGGATTTGCTGGCTGCTCGATCTATCTGGGCCTTCGGACCTGACGCCATGGGGCCCAACATCTTGGTGGACGATACTCTGCCATCTGAGGTCAGTGAATAGAATGTCTGGGAAGCAGGAGAATGTTTGCTTAAATGCTCACTTGGTAGACAGTGTTATTAAATACAAGATGAGACTTTTACTGTTTCATACTTATTTTTTGTTAATGCTTATTCATCTGCTTTTATATTACCTGCTGTAGTCTTTCAGAAGAAATAAAAAACAATATAGAATAATCAGAAGAACCAAAAGGTTTAAACAGTTCTTTTTCACATGACTATGATCAGTCCGGCACATTGCTAGTAGTTGCCACAACACAGTGTTCTAATTGTTGGTGTTCTTGTGTTCAGTCTACTAGACTCTAGTGAAGAATGTAGAACTGTAATGGAATAGAGCATAATGTTTCGCTTTGAAAGATACAGAAAATGTTATATTGTTGTGGAAGAAAGTTTAGAGAAGAAAACCCACCCCATGACGAAGTTCATTCCTTTATTCTTACTTAATGCTATGTGTTTGATGTATTCAGGTTGACAAGTCAGTTCTGGGCTTGGTGAAGGACAGCATCGCGGGATTCCAGTGGGCAACCAGAGAAGGGCTCACTATGTGATGAACGCACGCATATTGTCTTCACCTGATCTGATCTGAATAATTCAGTTGCATTGCACAGTCAAACAACATGTTGCTGTATTACACCATCTCAGGATGTTGTATTACCCATGCTGTATTGCCCATACAAGTGCGTGCATTACCCATGTCATGGTGCCGTATTACCCATGTCATGGTGCAGTATTACCCTTGTCATGGTGCTAGTATTATAACCCATGCTCATGGTGCAGTATTACCCATGTCATGGTGTCAGATATCCATGTCATGGTGCAGTATTGCCCATATACGTGCAGTATTACCCATAAACATGGTGCAGTATTACCCATGTCATGGAGCACGCTGCAACTGAACGAAGTACCAA